TGGTGGTATTCTCCCACGCTGCTCTACTGCCTGAAAGCTGCCTCCAGGCAGTTAGCCGAGTAATCAGAGGGATCATTCCATCTGTTTCTCTTTGCAGAGATCATAATCCTTCCATGCCTGCTGTCCACTGGCTGAAAACTGTTTTTTAATATATTTTGTCTGGTTTTCTAATTAAGATGAGAGTGTAAATATAGTCCCTGTTAATTATTTGTAGCCATAAGCAGTCCTTACTCTTTATATTTTACTAGAGGCCCGGTGCACAACATTCATGCACGGGGGGTGGGGGATGAAGGGGGGTCCTCAGCCCGGCCTGCGCCCTCTCGCAGTCTGGGAGCCCTCAGGAGATGTCTGAGTGATGGCTTAAGCCTGCTCCCCAGGCCTAAGCCAGCAATTGGACATCCTTAGCGCTGCCACTGTGAGCCCAGCTTCTGGCTGAGTGGTGCTCCCCCTGTGGGAGTGCACTGACCACCAGGGGGCAGCTCCTGTGTTGAGCATCTGCCCCCTGGTGGTCAGTGTGCATCATAGTGACTGGTTGTTCTGCCATTCGATCGATTTGCATATTAGCCTTCTATTATATAGTATACCTCAATATATAGATATTATTTAATATGCATATTATATTTGAAGGGGTTGCTCTTTTCTGGTTATACAGTTTTTTTGTACATTCAGTTTACTCTTACAAAGACAATGAAATATTTGAAAATAATAATAGCAACTGCCTTCTGTGTCTCAACCCTGTGCTAGGTGTTTCATATCCATTATATCGAATCTTTGCAAAAAATTTTAGAGATCGATATTGCTGATATTATTGTCTTCATTTTAAAGATGTCAAACTGAGATTTAAAGCAGTGAATAAATTGCCCAAACTCAGTAGCTAATACATTGACCAGCTTACAGTTGAATGCAGTCTTTCTGAATATTCCTGTATCCACACCACAATGTTTAATGTGTAGTATTCACACATAAGAACACAATTAAGGCCAAAATGTTTTTAAGCTCAAAGGTTAAATTAAGCAGAAAATTTAAGTGACTCTGTAGATAATGTTTTACAGTATAAGTGAATGGGTGGTGTTTTAGTGTGTGTGTGTGTGTGTGTGTGTGTGTGTGTGAGAGAGAGAGAGAGAGAGAGAGAGAGAGAGAGCGTGTGTGTGTGTGTGTGTGTATGCATATATGTATGTGTTAGGTGCAGTGAATGAAGGAGCCTTACCCAGTCACATTGACCTTCTTTGAACCCTGACACCTTTGCATGTAATACTGAAATTGCATTTAATTTTCAAAATTATCGTACTTTTACTCCCCGGACTGTCGTAACAAATTACCACAAACTTGGTGGCTTAAAACAACCTAAGTGCATGCTCTCACGGTTCTGGAGGCGAGAGCTCTGAAATCAAGGTGCAGCAGGCGGGCACTCCCTGTGGGGGCTCCAGTGCAGGGTCCTTCTTGCCTCTTCCAGCTGCTAGTGCCTCCTGGAGTTCCTTGGCTTGTGACAATGTAGCTCCAGTTTCTGCTCCATCTCCACCTACCAAGGCCTTCTTTCCCGTGTCTCTCTCTCCTCTTCTTTTGTAAGGACTTATCATTGGATTTAAGGCCCACCTTCATCCAGGATGATCTCCTCTTTTTTAAAAAAAATATTTTTATTGATTTCAGAGAGATAGAAACATCAGTGATGAGAGAGAATCAATGATCGGCTGCCTCCAGCACACCCCCTACTGGGGATGGAGTCCGCAACCTGGGCATGTGCCCCAACCAGGAATTGCACTGTGATCTCCTGGTTCATGGATCGATGCTCAACCACTGAGTCACGCTGGCTGGGCCAGGAGGATCTCCTCTTGAGATCCTTAATTTCCTCTGCAAAGACGGTTTCCATTTGCAGGTAGCACTGGTTAGGGTTTGCACATATTTGGGGGGTGGGGAGCATACAGTTCAACCCACTACAGACTCTAGGGGAGCTATGAAGCGCTTCACAGTGGCTGCTCTTTAAGTTCCTCTCAGGAGGGCTACCCTGCAGCCCAGGCATTGACCTGTAAATACCCAAACTCCGTGATTGGGAAATAACTCCAGACACCCAGTCTGAGCAAGATGAATGTCTAACGTGTATGCCAAGCCTAAGTGTGTTTTCTGTCCAAGTATCTTTCTTTGCACTTGGGTCTTTGCCACCTTGAGTCAGAAAATGCTATCATCCAAGATTCTGATTCACTCCCTTCCTTTATCTACTCGGTGCCCAGCTATCCTATGTTGCAACTTTCTGCTAACCTCTGCTAACCTTTTTTTCCTCCAGAAACTCAAGCATCCACTGTTCTTGCTAATGCTTCTTTGTAATCTTGCCAGTGAAGTCTCTTAAACACGATGGGACTGTGTTTTTAAGGCATTAGACTTAATAACCAGGTCGTTACCACTGTTTACTAACCTGGGCTCATTAACAGGGCTCTGTGCTTTTCACCTTACCGCAGCATAATGAGGTTATTAATTAGGGCAAGAGACATAAGCAACTCTAGGTTTGCTCTAAGGCCGTGGTTCTCAACCTTCTGGCCCTTTATATACAGTTCCTCATGTTGTGACCCAATCATAAAATTATTTTCGTTGCTACTTCATAACTGTAATGTTGCTACTGTTATGGATCAAAATGTAAATATCTGATATGCAGGATGGTCTTAGGCGACCCCTGTGAAAGGGTCGTTCGACCGCCCAAGGGGTCGCGACCCACAGGTTGAGAACCGCTGCTCTAAGGCCATCTGGGGAGATGGCTCGGGCTTTGGTCATAATTTCTGTTAAAATGTTTCCAAGGGGATACATTTCAGTCACCAGGAAATGATATTTCCCTTCAATGTCAACTCTTTTTCTCTTTAAATGGGCTGCTTTTAGGTCTGTAAAATTCCCCACTGTAATTCACCTGATGCCTCATTGAACTCAACAGCAGAGGCCGTGGGGGGGCAGCGATTGAAAGCATGGGCTGGAGCCAGACAGCCTGGGTCTAAATCCTGGCTCTGCTTCTTCCTGTGTGACATTGGGCACATTAATTTCATTTCTGGCTCTTTTTTTTTTTTAAATCTGGGCAAGGGTGAGGATTAAATGAATGTAAAATGCTTAGGTCAGTATCTGGCACACAGTGAGTGCCTTATACATGTGAGCAGTTATTTTTAAAAATTTATTAAATCCAAAGAAACCGCTTTTGCTATCTGCTGTGTAAAAGGCATGGTTTAGTGCTCTGGTCTTTCTAGGATGGGGTTACAGGTTGCACTCTGTCTCCCTGAGATTCATATGTTGAAGTTCTAACACCTCAAACTTCAAAATGTGACCTTATATGGAGATAGGAATTTTTCAGAAGTAACCAAGTTAAAATGAGGTCATGCAACAGGTTCCAATCCAGTATGATGGCTGTCCATAGATAAAGGGGAACTTGGATACACAGACACGTGTAGAAGGAAGACGAGGTGATGAAACATGGGAAGAAGGTGGCCATCTGCAAGCCAGGGAGAGAGGCCTGAAACAGATCCTCACAGCCCCTGGAAGGAACCAACGCTACTGACACCTTGATTTTGGACATCTAGCCTCCAGAACTGAGAAAAGAAATTTCTGCTTTTAAGCCACCTTAAAAGTAATAGTCCTTTGTTATGACAACTTTAGGAAATTAATCCAGAGGGTCATGACACACATCGCTGTCTGCTAGGAGGGATGTACTATTCCATAGTGCTCTGGTTGCAAGCAACAGAAATTAACTAAATCTCGCTTAAGCAAATAATAAAACAAAGATGAACTTATAATGATACCGAGGCATCTCATAAAATCCAAGGGCAGGATTGCAGCTGGCACATAATGTCGACAGTACTCCCCATCTCACCCTGGCTGGGTGGCTCTGTTGGTTGGAGCATCATCCAGTGCACCAAAAGGTTGTGGGTTAGATTCCCCGTCAGGGTGCATGCTAAGTTGCAGGTTTGATCCCCAGTCAGGGCATTAATGGGAGGTAACTGATCGATGTTCCTCTCCCTCCCCTTCCCTCACCTTCCCTCCCCTCCTCTCTCCCCCTTCACTCTGGTTTTTTGTGCTTCCCTAATCCAGATGGCAGAAAACATGGTCCCCATTTGCACTTGGGTTTGCGTATTAAAGATACAGCCCCCTAGAAAGGAACTGCATGGATCGTTCAGCAGATTCTAATTCTAAGGGAAGGGCATCATATTCCCGCCCTGGGTCAGGCGCCAGCGCCACCAGCTGGGACCAGGGGAACAGTATTTCAGTGCACAGACATGGTGCTCCTACTGTAACCACGTGGATGGAGTGAGGGGAGGGACCACGACCTAAAAAGGGAACCGATGGCAGGTAACCTGAGGAGGGCTCCTTTAACAGTGATGTGTGCTCACCTACCTGCAGCGCTCACCACAGCCTTGCAGGAAGCTGCAGAAGGCTAGGGGAGAGGTCATGCTGACAGCACTTGGCCTCGTCTAGTCCTGGAGCTAGAGTTGCTTTTTTCACCTTCAGGCAGGTAGAAATTAGTCATGGTTGAAAGCATGGGTCTTTAAAACATATATATATATTTTATTGATTTCAGAGAGGGAGGGAGAGGGAGAGAGAGATAGAAACATCAATGATGAGTGAGAATCATTGACCGGCTGCCTCTTGCATGCCCCCTACTGGGGATCAAGCTCGCAACCGGGGCATGTGCCCTTATGGAGACTGGAACCATGACCTCCTGGTTCATAGGTCGATGCTCAACCACTGAGCCACACTGGCCGGGCGAGAAAGCGTGGTTCTTTGAATCAGAGACGCGTGGTTCCAATCCAACTTTGCCTTTTATTAATTATGTAACCTTGGCCATGTCCCCAAGCCTCTTGGCACCTCAGCTTCCTCATCTTTCAACAAGGGAAGTAAATAATACTGCCAACTTCCTAAGTTTCAAGTGAGCTATAAATGGGTCCATGGCAACATGTAAGTGCCCAATAAATGTTAGCCGTTCTTAGCATTATTCACATCTGCTGAATCCTTCTTTGTTTTGCTTTCTCCTTCAGGCCGAATTCTCAGAGTTGAACCTAGCTGCCTATGTTACTGGGGGCTGCATGGTGGACATGCAGGTCGTGAGAAATGGTACCAAGGTGGTGAGGTAAGGAGGACTGAGACTCAGGGCCCCTTCACCTGTGGGGGATTCCTCACGGAGCCAACCCCTCCATCCAGTGGCCAGGCCTTACTTCTGAGCTGCTGTGCTTTCACATGTAGAATGTCTGCTCTCCGAGTGTCAGGTGTTGTTGCCATAGAAATGACGAGTGGCACAAACAATATGGGGCATTAACTGGGTGCCCTGGCATGAGCCATGGGCTTGGGGAGAAAGGCTGCGTTCTAGCCCTGGCTTTGTGGCTCTGTTTGGGTGTGTTTCCCAGTCTCTTACCCCCGATTGTTGTCGGCGGCATGACGATAGCAGCACTGAAGTAGGAGGCACGTGTGTGAGAGCATCCTATTCTAAAGTGCAGCACAAATGTAACGGCTTATTTTAATGAGTTACGTCCTGCTTCCAGCAGTATGGCAGACGGAATGCCCCTCCCAGGACATCAAACCTAAAAGTGCGGGATCTGATGTTTTCCAAGAAATCTGTATAATATATGCTGAGCTGGAGGGGGAGTGAGGGGATTCTTGAGAAGCCCAGAAATGTCAAGAACGTGGAAATGCACAGGAGAGAGAAATGGTTGTGCTAATATAGTCCCATCTAGCGAAGTACCCAGAGGATGGTGCACACTAAGTCTTGTGAGGGTTTCGATGGGGAAGAAATAGGACTCAGATTTGGGGAAGTGGAGAAAACAGGAAGAACTTGGAGGAAAATGGGGCATTTATTCTGAGCCTTGTCAAATGGTGGGATGGGGGAGTTCTATGCATTCCACGGGTAGGAAACAGTCTTTGTAAATGCAGACAAGTGAAAAAAAAGTGTGTCTGGGAGATTATTACAGTTCAACTAATCCAGCCATCATTTCCCGAGGGCCAGCTTTGTACAAAGAAAGACATTATGTGGCTTCCTAATTCCAGTGATGGTGGGCTAGGTTATTTGGACTAACTCTTCCACCGAAAACAACTTAAGAACTGGTTTTAAATAATAATAATCTTCAAAGCCTTCAAGGGGTTGGCACGACAAAGAGTTACCCAGAAGAGAATGATGGGGAAATGGAAACCCAGCAAAAAAAAAAGTGTGTCTGGGAGATTATTACAATTCAACTAATCCAGCCATCATTTCCCGAATGCCAACTTTGTACTAAGAAAGACATTATGTGGCTTCCTAGTTCCAGTGATGGTGGACTAGGTTATTTGGACTAACTCTTCCACCGAAAACAACTTAAGAACTGGTTTTAAATAATAATAATCTTCAAAGCCTTCAAGGGGTTGGCACAACAAAGAATTACCCGGAAGAGAATGATGGGGAAATGGAAACCCAAAGAGAGAAACGAGTATGAAAGCGACCTTTTCCCTAAGAGTCTTTCTAAGTTTGGCAAATGTTAGCATTGGTTTTGATCACCAATCAGCGCAAGGGAGACAGAGATCAGTACCCAGGGCCACTCAAGGTGGGGAATGTGGTGATAGACCGTCCCCACAGTAAGCTGAGACCCAAAGGATACACCTTCAAGGTGAATGTGAGTTACAAGTCGATGAACCCTCACAAGTAATTGCAGTTTGGACTGCAGTTTTATTGGTTTTCCGGGGACTCTCACGCATGGTAATCCCAGACATGCCAGAAATAAAGGCTGTGTTGTGTAGAGCAAGGCGCTTTCAGCCTAGGCCTCAAATAATTATTCAATTGATTTTTTTTTGTACAATAGCTAGCACAGAGTCAAAGATGAGCAGACACAGACATCATGAATGAGAGGAAATAGAACAGTAGACAATAGAAAAAAGCCCTTATAGCTCAGGAACTGGAATTATTAGGCACTGATTCTTAAAATTTTTAAAAATCATACATATTAAGTGGGAAAAAATCAGGTTTGAAGATATATGCAGGGAATAAGGAACTATAAAAAGTGACACAACTGCCTGCCCAGCATGGCTCAGTGGTTGAGGGTTGGCCTATGAACCAGGAGGTCATGGTTCGATTCCAGGTCAGAAACAGAACAATAGACAATAGAAAGAAGCCCCTATAGCTCAAGTACTGGAATTATTAGGCACTGATTCTTAAAATTTTTTAAAAATCATACATATTAAGTGGGAAAAAATCAGGTTTGAAGATATATGCAGGGAATAAGGAACTATAAAAAGTGACACAACTGCTCGCCCAGCATAGCTCAGTGGTTGAGGGTTGACCTATGAACCAGGAGGTCATGGTTCGATTCCAGGTCAGGACACATACCCAGGTTACAGGCTTGATTCCCAGGAAGGGGCATGAAGGAGACAACCGATCAATGGTTCTCTCTCATCATTGATGTCTCTATCTCTCCCTCTCCCTTCCTCTCTGAAATCAATAAAAAGATATGTATTTTTAAAAAGAAGTGACACAACCAATTTTTTAAAAAACCAAATAGAACTTCTAGAAATGAAGTGTACAATATATCCCACATCATTGGATGTGTTGTGTTTAACAGCATATTAAACACCACTGAGAAAGTGATAATACAGTGAAATGTAGAGCTAGAGAAATGATCCCAAATAAAGCACAGAGAGAAAAAAGATGGGAAATCTAGAAGACATGGTTTGGTCATGTGAGAGGATCTAACATTGAATCAGAGTCTCAGACAGAGAGGGAGAGTGGAGCAGAGGCAATATTTTACGAAACTATGGCTCAACATCTTTCAGAAAGATTCCAAAACACCAGACACAGAAGCACAACAGATTTCAAGGAGAATAAATAAAAAGAATACCAAGGCACCAAGAGACAATAGTGTAAGTGCAGAAAGGTGAAGGAAAATAAGTAGTAGCCAGAGTCAAAAAGGCAGCCGCTCTGATGGGACTAACAAACTAACTCAGCTCCCAGGCGGCAGCGGGGAGAGTATCTTAAAATAATCGCCAACCTATAACCCCATCCTCAGGGACACCTCTTTTATGAATGAAGGCAAAATAAAAACATTTACAAAGGAAGACCCTCCCTCAGTGAGGGAAACTGTAAAGCAGTGGTTCTCAACCTTCTGGCCCTTTAAATACAGTTCCTCATGTTGTGGCCCAACCATAAAATTATTTTCGTTGCTACTTCATAACTGTAATGTTGCTACTGTTATGAATCGTAATGTAAATATCTGATATGCAGGATGGTCTTAGGCGACCCCTGGGAAAGGGTCGTTCGACTGCCAAAGGGGTCGCGACCCACAGGTTGAGAACCACTGCTAAATATGAGGGGTTAAAATATACACCAGTGAATTAGTAGGGACTGGGGGGTAAGTTAAGGTGTTCTGAGGCCCTTGTATTGTCAAGGAGGAAAGTCAATGTGTTGATTAAAAACAAGCTTTGAAAAATCAAAGATGAACTATTAGGCACTGATTCTTAAAATTTTTCCTGCCCTAGCGGGTTTGGCTCAGTGGCTAGAGTGTCAGCATGTGGACCGAAGGGTTGCAGGTTCAATTTCAGTCAAGGGCACATACCTTAGTTGCAGGCTCGATTCCTGGCTCTGGTTGGGGAGTGTGCGGGATGCAATAAATCGATGTGTCTCTCTCACATTGATGTTTCCCTTTCTGTCTCTTTTCCTCCCTTCCACTCTCTCTAAAAATCAATGGAAAAAATATGCTCAGGTGAGGATTAACAACAACAACAAAAAAAGATGAATCGTGTAATCTCTTAAAAAAAAATGTAGTACTTAGCCCTGGCTGGTTTTGCTCAGTCCAGTTTTCTCAGTGGTTAGAGTGTTGGCCTCTGGCACTGAAGGGTCTCGTGTTTAATTCCAGGTCAAGGGCACGCATCTCTGTTGCAGGTTCCCCAACCCCTGTAGAGGCGCGTGCAGGAGGCGACCAATTGATGTGTCTCTCTTTCTCTCCCCCCCTCCTCCCTCCCTTTTACTCTCTCTGGAAATCAGTGGGGGAAAATATCCTCAAGTGAGGATTAAAAATAAATGTAGTACTTAAAAAGTACAAGAGAAAAAATATAAATAAAAAATGAAGTCAAGAAAAGAGGAATGCCAGCATAGAGAAGGTGTTACAGTAAAATAAGATGGTAGACTTAAATCCAAATATTGGATTGATATCAGGTTGATATCACTGTGAATGGCTTGTGCAGCAGTACTAGTTATTAAAATATTGAACTCTTTCTATACAAGTTGGCAAATAGCTTCTGCCCTGAGCCCTCACCCCGCGGATGGGCATGGTCATTGGGTTGCTTTTTTGTCTCCCAGTTCACTACATTCCTGTCCCCCAGTCCATATCCTTGTTCCTCCCGTGGTCAGAGGACGCCCAAAATTGTCGGGGAGACGCAGGCTTGGAAGCAGTGGTGGAACCACGAGAGCAGATGCTCCGTTCCTTCTGTCCCTTCATGGCTGCAGATGCCCATGGCTGCAGATCCCCTAGAGCTGCCCTCTCATGGCCACTGGTGAGAACTGCAACCTCCACAAAGTCCCCTGTGAGCTGTTAATTTTCTATCACCAGTAGATCAGTAACTACATTAAATGTAAATGGGCTAAATGCTCTGATTTACAGAGCATCTGCAGCAAGATTGCCAGAGTAGATTTTTTAAAATCCATCTATATTTCATTCAAGAGACTCGTCCAAAACATAAGAATATAGAAATTTTGAAAGGGAAAGGATTGAAAAATAGATACACCATGTAACTACTACTGGGCTAAAGAACGCTAGCCAATGTAGCTGTATTAATATCGGGGGTACAGTAGACTTCCAGATGAAAAGCATTGCTCGGGAAAAGAAAGAAATCCACTAGGAGAAAGGACTCACGTACCCAGAAGGGATCATTTTAAATGTACTATAAGCACCAAGTAAAAATGCCACAAAACTGCACTTCAGCAGTTGGCAAAACTGTGATGAGCAATAAACAGTGCCCCGTCATGGGAGAGTGTGAGAATGGCGCTACCTATATACATTCATTCACTCCTCACAGCAGCCTCATTTTGCACATAAGAATATTTTTTAAAAAACACAACAACAACCTAAAATGCAAAATTTCGGAATCTGTATATGTTCCTATTTGGGATTATTT